ACCGAGTATCTTAGGGAACACGAAATATACTGACGACTAAAGGTAACAGGAATGCAGCTCATGAAAAATAGGGCACTGTGGAATTACAAATGGTATGATGTTGTGGAGAGGAATATGAAAGGGGTCATGGTTCCTGGCTAGTTCGGCAATGCGGTCTGGTGCATGAATCAGAAGTTCAAGCAAGATTAGAATTAAGCAACGTGGAATAGGTAGCTTGCTTTAGGAGCTCACGGGAATACCCCAAATCAGGAGTACAAGGTGATATGGATGGACATCATTGAGGGCAGGGAAGCTAGCAGCAAGATAAAAATTTGAGAAACGATTGAGAGAAATGGGGGAAGAGCGTTGGGCTAGGAAGTTTCAGCTACTTGTACATGAAGAATGTCGATACAAAATGGAAAAGCGAACCAGAAGTTGACTGGTAAATACTTAGAAAACAGCAGGTGGCCAAACCAAAAGAACTATCGGTTAAGAAGAAGTGAAGGAAACGGAGACTGACATGTGGAGAATGGGCATGATAAGAAGTCCGCACTAGAGATCTATCGAACTTTTAAGCAGAAATTGCCAAGGAAAGGATCTATGATAATACTCGGGTAGTTCTCTACTGTTTGAGGCCAGGACGGGAGTACTGCGAACCAAGACATCGGGCCAAATACGAAAGGGTAGACACAGTATGCAGTGCGTGTGGAGGGAAGAGTAGTACCGAACACTTGATAATGTTCTGTAAAGGGCTTCACCCTATAGTTCAGGATGATGGCACAGAATTTTCAAAGCAGGGGGGTTTAGGGACCGGGAGGGCAAAATAAACTTTAAGCGGGTAGACTTAACCAGAAGGAGGTTATCTGATTGGTGGCTAAAGTCAAGACACGAGTGAAAATTAACTCTCACTGCAAAGTACGAATCCTCAAACTCACTTTTTAAGGAAAAAAAATAAATATAGTTTTTGGTTCATTAGGTGTTACGGCTTGGTGGCGCTAGCCACCGCCCGATCTAAAGGGTACAGCCATATCATCCATCCATCTATCCATCCATCCATAATCACGGCAGCGCGGCGTACCAGCTAAGCGTTTTTCATCTGCGGCCCATAGAGGCGCGTCAGTCGAGAATTGTTTGAGACCTGCAGCTGTGCACCACTGTTTCTGAGGCTATGCAAAGTGTTGCGTTGTTGCACCGTCCACCACAAGTGACGCTAGCGACCGAGAACATTTTCAGAATGAAGGAGAGAAAGGGTGTGGCAGCTGTTTTTTTTCTCGTGCGGCAGGCATCATCTTAGAGAAGGCGTTGGCACAATTCACGCAAGTTTTACGCGCGTTAATGTAATTTTTACGACCGTTATCGAGATTGGCGCTTTGTTTTGCTCGCACATGAAGGTGTGATACTTCCTTAGCCCATGGACACTCCTTCTGGATACCGCCCCGCCGCGGTGGTCTAGTGGCTAAGGTACTCGGCTGCTGACCCGCAGGGCGCGGGTTCGAATCCCGGCTGCGGCGGCTGCATTTCCGATGGAGGCGGAAATGTTGTAGGCCCGTGTGCTCAGATTTGGGTGCACGTTAAAGAACCCCAGGTGGTCTAAATTTCCGGAGCCCTCCACTACGGCGTCTCTCATAATCATATAGTGGTTTTGGGACGTTAAACCCCACATATCAATCAATCAATCCTTCTGGATACCGCTCGCCCACTGCTGCAGGTGGTCATCAGTAACATGCGTGCGTCGAAGAAATTTTAGATTGAACTCTGTGCTTTATATATGTCACACGCTGCGTTTTCGATAGGTATCGAGTTATATTGATCGTTCACTTGCGCTAGACACGGCATCGAGCGAGTGTTGAACGACTTGACTGGCTTGATACCGATCATGCATGCACGCGCGGACACCGCAGCTAAAGAGCTGCAGCAAATTCAGATGTACCGAGTAATGAAGTTAAATGATATTACGCAGGAGGTTCAATTTGTCGACTCGTATGTATTAGCCGCTAGTTGGCATGACAAAACAAGCGATGTACTATCGGCGTCCAATGAAACCCGAACAGCCGCAAGCCTTCGCCGTCCACTTAACACCACGGACAGGCAGCTGCTGAACAAAATTATGCGCAGTTTCTACATTTAAGTAGTGATAAGCATTTAGGAAGGAAAAGTAATGCAATGTCGTGCTACATGTACTCTCAATTGAAAGACCCTGGGGCACCGTCTTAAAGGGGCCCTGCAACACTTTTCCAAGTATACATGTAATGGATTCACTTAAGGAGCTATTGCCTAACGGATACACCGCCACAAAAGAATTTTAAAATCCATACAGTAGAAGCGAAGTTACAAAGCTTTGTCTTACGCGAGAATTACATTCTCTTCTCTTGTCTATACGAATCTGGAAGCCAAGCAGGAAGGGATGGCACGAGCGAAAAAAATACATCACACATGCCTCGTTATCTTGAGCCGTTAAACCCCAGAAATCAACCTATCAATCGTTATCTTGAGCACGTCCTTTTCTTCCTTCCAGTGCGTGGCTTTTCAGTGTGACCACGCTCGCGTAGACAGGTCGCGTCCTCTCGTGGCTGCCCCAGAAACGATCAAGCGCATCAGGCTGAAATCAGCCACGAGCTGATACTGTGACACAGTGATTTTTAAGCCTGTAGTGTCATTTGCGAGCGATGATAAAGCCGATTTTTAGCCGACTCAAGAACTTATGGTAAGTTCCAGGCAGCGTGCTGTGCAACGATATTTGGCATGCATGTACTAGGGAGTCTCAACTAATGATCAGCAGCGTTTTTTGACTATGTTCTAAAGTACTGCAGGACCCCTTTAAAGTAATATACAGGCTGCAGGGACGCACGCAGCATTCAACTCCTCTCATACAGTGCATTGCCTCTCGGCAACCATGGTGTCGAGATGGCAAATAGGAAAAAAAAAAAAGAATTTTCTGAAACATGCGTAGCATTTTATTTACACTCTAGTTGCTGCTATGATGTTTTTGTACCTATTTTGAGGGAAGACTGACATTTTATGCATGCACATGGTGCTGAACACAACTAGCAATATAGTGCTAACAATGTCCCACTTATATCAAAAACAATACTACAGCTAGACTGTAATCAATCAACAAACTTTATTTGGGCAAATACAGCTGTTTCTTTTGGGCAGAGCAGGGAAAAAAGATTATCCCCCGTCCCGTCCTACCCTTAGTCGACGATGATGGCGATTGCTCAGGTGACTGCACGAAGTACTTGGAGCCGGGCGGCATCTTCGGCTTGGAAAAAGAAAATAAATGGTGTAATATTAAGGGACAAGTCACTCACGAAATAGTTCTTTGCGAAGACATCTTGTTCATAACGAGAAGAGATTGCTGCTCGTTAAGAATAACAGGCTTGGTTACAAGAGAGGCAAGCATGGAAGGGTACGAAAAAAGTAAGTTGTCTGGTGAGATTAGGATGGTTGCAGAAATAGCGTGGTCACAGTGAAAAGAAGACCAGGTAACTGGTCAAACATGAAAGGCCTTTGCCGTGCAGTGGGCCTAGTCAGATGATGACAAAGATGTATGTTCACATAGTCCTGCAGTTCTCATACAGCAATTTTGTGTACAGAGGCGTCCACTTCCACCTTGAACAGCACACCACGTGGCCAGAGCTCTGCGAAGCACCACTAATAGGCGCTTGCCAAACTGAAGTACAAGCACAGTGACAGTTGTAGGTGAGGCCTCCACTGCGTTGTCCACTGAATCATAGCAGCTCCTCTGAATTGCGCTTGCTTTACTGTGATGGTGCAGCAAAACCTCATTAATTTGAAGTCGCTGGGACCGTGAAAAATCTTCTAATTGAGGGGTTTTCGAATTAATAGAATGTACAAAAAATGTGGAATGCAAGTAGCTTGAAATTATTCACAAATAATTAGAACTGGTCCTTTGCTGTGCCGGCTAGATTGTGACCCCAAGGGTTATGTTATAAGGAGAAAAAAGCACGTTTTGGTCAACATTAACAGAGTAAATGCTTCGAACAGGTGCACAAAGGCCAGAGCAGTCAGCAAGGCTATTTGACTGTAGGCACGATCTACAGCCAGACTGTGAATCACATACACAAAGTGGACAGAGAACTCTGCAAAACGGAGGCAATACAAATGTTTATGTGACTAACATGGCGCATCTGATTCATGCAAATGCTGAACATGCGATTTATCTACCATGCATGTCTGACATTCTACAGTTGGATACAACTTTAGAAGCACTTCGTCATCAAAGGTGGATGCACACAAGTTTGCACCTATAAACACTCAACCGCATGTGCGCGATTTTCTAGCAACAGCGACCACCCACAGAATTCGCTGTCGTGGAGGCTTATTCTTCACCACCGCTCGTCACGCGTTTATGGAAAACTAGATTCGATTGCCTGTCACCCGGAAGCCAGTGTGGCGATTTCCGGCAACATGGCTGCGCCCCAGGTTCTCGCTTCACTTGCAATTCACTCTCGATGCTTGTTATCCATACGTACTTCAAGAAATGCAAGGTATTGACCACATTGATTACATTTGCATCTCACACGGAGAGTGAGAGGTATTCTGTCGTAAATATCATTATCGAAGGCTTGTTTTGATGTTTTGACGGTAGCTTGTGACAATTATGGTCACTTGCTGCAATGTGAAATCGTCATGCTAACTGCGTCTTAGCATATGCTTCTGGGCACCCTGTAACTGTGAAACCAAAGATTGCGAAAAAAAGAAAGTTGTGAAATGCTTTCGTGGGTTCCTTATGCCACACAAGATAGTAATAAATTTGGCATGCTGTCAGTGACCAACTTTTCAACTTGTATTCACAATTATGGGTATGCACGCGATAGTTTTCATTCAAGCAACAATGACATTTTGTCGCCAACATGCGATTGCAACCGTTGCGACGAAGCAAGTTGGTCGCTGTCGCTAGAAAATCGCATGCATGCAGTTGGGCCTTTAGTGGCAACTCCAGACGTTAAGAACCGGACAGCTCGTGACCCTTCTTTCAAAGAGCATAACTGAGTGCATAAGCCGGACTATTTTTTTAGCCATGGAGGCAACATACCTTTTTAAAGCAATCACAGAGTGCCCCGCAGGCGTATAGAGCACTATGGGAGCAGCGTATATGCCAAGCAAGCCGGCTGTTCTGCTGCCTTTTGCTCGTTGGCACCGCCGAGTATGGCGCAAGCACAAAACGAAAAGAACACGTTGCCGCTTGTTGATTATTGAATCCTGAATAGTAGATATGTCCAAATACACCTCCATGTATCTGAGGCATAAAATGTGAAATGAATAATGCAGTTAGTGTAGATATAACCGAGCAGATGTACATCGAATGTAGCAGCTGAGCAGCATGCGAGCTGTTTCATCCCGGTAAACGTAGTAAAACCGTGCTATTGTGAAAAATGTGAGCTGATACACTCAATTCATACTTATTTAACATTTCACAAGGCACTATAGAATTTAATACAATTGCAGTTTTATTGGGCCGCTAGTGCCAAATAGCAGAGGAGTGTTTCAGAATTTTAAATTTTTATTGACAATTCAAGTGCTGTCATAAAATGAACACATTTTGAACATGTTTAAAATGAAGAGATCGATATAGAATTCACTTGCGAGATACCTTGCCCCCATAATTTGCGGTGTCCAACTACAGGAAATATTTGCTGCCACTAAATTCTGCATTCAGCGAAACCGATGTTACATTTTGCGTCGACGTTCTAGAATATTGTTCAATAGAATATAATGATGATGTACTCACGATCGGCACAGAAGAAAAAAAATGAAAAAAAGAAAACTTGCACACATTACATGAGAAAGTTTCCAGCTGCAAATCGATTGTCTCAAGGAGGTGCAGTATCTCGTGCATCATATAGTGCCAGCTTGCTAACAACTCATTTGCATAGCAAAAAACAAAAATAAAGAAAACAAAGAAGAATACAAACATCCTCAACCTGTGAACAAACTAAAAATATTGAAGTATTCCAGAAGGCTAAAAAGTGATATGGGGCGAGGATTGTGTTTTCGCTACTTCGTCACATTTGTTCCATAATGCACAGAAGGTCATAGGGTTCAGCAGTGGGCAGAGAAAAATACTATCAGAAGCATGACAATTGTGGTGCAGAAGTTGCTAACCGAATTTCTCTTTATTGTGTTCATATACACACATTGGCCAGACTGGTTGATTGATATTTGGGGCTTAGCGTCCTAAAAGCAACATATGATTATGAGAGACGCAGTAGTGGGGGGCTCCAAAAATTTCAGCCACTTGGGGTTCTTTAACATGCACCCAAATCTGAAACACAAAGCATTTTCGCCTCCATTGAAAATGCAGCCGCCAAAGCCAGGATTCAATCCCACGAACTGCGGGTCAGCAACCGAGTGCCCTGGCAACACTAGATCACCGCGGCGGGGCTTGGCCAGACTAGTTAATGTATCAACACACACCTCAGAGAGCGTTGAAATTCATTGAATGGAGCAGCGTCAGTGAGCAAATGTAATTTGATCATAAAAGGCACGATAATTTTACACCGTCACCCTACCCAGACCATGTGAAAAATTTCGGAGGCATATCATAAAGAATATCGCACTTCACATAAGACAACCTTCTATATGATTACAACTCAAGAAATTTCATTAGTCCACTATGAACACAAGCCTTGGTTGTTTGCGTTTTTGTGCCCTTTCGCAACATGCCCGATCAGCCCCATTTTCATATAATCTTTTTAACACGTGCTACAACCATTCAGTTGTGAGTGAGCATTTGTGGTGGATATATATTTCTTTCCTTATCTAACTTCTGTCTTTTTGCCTTGTAAGTTTGATTCCAACCTACAGTTACAGTGCCAAGAACGTTGGTACGTGCATATAGCTTTTTTGGCAGCTGCATATAGTGACGTGCATGCAATCCCACAGAATCTTAGTCAACTTCCAGTGATTATTAGCGCACTCTTTAAATACCAGAACCTCAAAATTTATTCCTCAAGATAGCATCTTCATAGAAGCTTTCAACTGAAGCGTCATCATGGCTGGATGTAGCGCGTAAGCCTGTACTACCTTCATCTAGTATCTTTTATTCAGTTTAATTACGATACCTACCACCCTTTCATTAATGCTATAGTATTCTTCTATGTTGCCAGCTATGTTTCTGTGAATTAGGAACCACACTCCCAGTTTTCTTCTGTCTGCCAAGCCCCGATAGCAAAGGAGGTGCCCATTCTGTAGCACCGTAAAGGCCTCATCTGTCCTCCTAACTACACTGAGCCCTATTATATCTCATTTAACACCCTCTAGCTCCTCCAATAGTACAGCTAGACTTCCCTCACTAGATAAGGTTCTAGCGTTAAACGTTGCCAAGTTTAGGTTCCAATGGCCGCCTGTCCGGATCCAGAGATTCTTAGCACCCTCTGCTGCGTTGCAGATCTGACCGCCGCCGTGGTCAGTTGCTTCGCAGCTGCTCGGGACTGAGGGCCGTGAGTTATTTGACATATGCATGTGGGAGGTAGTGGCCAGATACTGTGCCAGGGTGGCTGCCACAGGTCCAGTTAATTCGGGAGGCGATCGCCGGGCTAATTCCAAGGGCCGAAGTATCGGCCCTCCGAACCGCACCACGAAAGCGTGGACAATTTAGAAGTGGTCCTTTCTGGCGCGCCAGAAAGGACCACTTCTAAAGAACAAAGAACAAGTCAGAGCCGAGAGCCCAAAGAACTAGTCAGAGCCGAGAGCCCAAAGAACTAGTCAGAGCCGAGTCAGAGCCCAAAGAACAAGTCAGAGCCGAAGTTGATAAACAAAACAAATTATATTCTCAATAATGGCAGATCCAAACAATACACAAGTATGCACACTCTACAATAGTTGAATACAATATGTCACCAATCAAACAATGTACTACACAGTACACAGCCACACTCGAAACAACGGACACAGACAACAATACGTACTACAATGCAGTCGCATGCATTGAACAACCAAGACACTTAAAGATTAAAGAGATAGAAAACCTATTCAGTCTAAAGTTCTTGGAACAAAAGTCTGGATGATACTCTTCCGAGAATCACTCACTCAAAGTCCAGCGTTGTTGTCGTTCCGCTGCCCCCGAAGTTTCTCTTCCAGGAAACCTCGCGTCTTCACTTGGCCGCTCTCCGAACTTCAAACTTCTTCGCCGGAAACACGTCGGCTTCACACTCGCAGCTGTTGCCACGCGCCTTCGCTCGATAGCGGTAGACACACACTCTTGCCTGTAGCTCGAGTCGTCACCCCTCAGGTGGAAATCCGCTTCTTCTCCTGCTTTGTCACTACGGACAAAACCTTCGCCGAATACACGGCGGAATACCCTACGCGCTCTGGCGCTAACTTCCGTCTTCTGCTTTGCCACTAAGGACAAAACCTTCACAGACAGACGCGGCGGGATACCCTACGCACTCTGGGGTTAACTTCCTTCTTCTGCTGATCTCTCATCTCGGCTGCTCGATTACATACCTTCCGCGCGAGATTCCAGAAAGTTCTCATCATTTCGTCGGCGCGATACGCAGCAAAGGCTGGGGAGAGGGCGAGACGATACGGGGGCCGTCCGCGACGGATGACTCAACCCGGCATCACCACACCCCTTTCCATCGAGAAATTTCGAGGGCTTGCTCGGCCGCTGATGTAGGGTGAGGAGGTTCGTCGGCGAACCCACGCTTCCGAGGGGAGAAGGACGCGCGCCCGGGGAGTCTTTGGATGCTTGTTTTCTTTTTTTTTTTTACCGTTGACCTCTCAGCGCCTCGTCGCGAGAATTTGGCGGCGCGGCCGTTTTTGAGCGCTCGTTTTGTGACAGTGGCCAATCCTTCTCTGGTGAGGGAGTGCGTTCCCGGCGGTGGCTACCGGTGAGGCCGCACCCCAGACATGCAGTTCCATCACCACGAGGAATTTCTTTTTTTATCCGGTTGGAAGCTGCGCGGCACCGAGATTTGAGCCACGGACCTTTTGCATGCGAGGCGGATGCTCTAACCACTACGCCACCGCCGCAATGAGTAAGGTAAAAACACAGTATACTATAGTGATGGCCGACTTTAATGCAAAGGTAGGGAAAAAAGCAGGCTGGAGACCAGGCAGTAGGAGATTATGGCATCGGTACTAGAAACCCCAGAGGAAAGCTACTAGTAGAATTCGCAGAACGCAACAATTTACGGATTTGAATACCTTCTACCAAAAACGAGAAAACCGCAAGTGGACATGGAGGAGCCCTAATGGCGAAAATACGAATGAAATGAACTTTATAATAAGTGCACACCTAGGAATTGTGCAGGATGTGGAAGTGGTTGGCAAGGTACGATGCAGTGACCATATCATAGAATGGTACGGTATCGAATTCGCCTAGACTTGAAGAAGGAACGACAGAAACTGATACGCAAAAAGCCAATCAATGAGATAACACTGAGAGGAAAGTACAGGAATTCAGAGTGTCGCTTCAGAACAGGTACTCGGCTCAGTGAAAAAACCAACCTTAGCGCAGATACAATGAATGATAATCTGATGAGTATCATTACGGAGTGTGCAGTGGAAGTTAGAGGCAGGGTAGTTAGACAGGAGACTGGCAAGCTTTCCCAGGAAACGAAGAATCTAATTAACAAGCATCAAATCTTGAAAGTCTCAAGTACAACAGACAAAATAGAACTGGCAGAGCTTTCGAAGTTGATTAATAGACGTAAGGTAAGCGATGTAAGAAGGTATAACATGGAGAGAATTGAACACGCTCTGAAAAACGGAGGAAGCGTCAAAGCAGTGAAGAGGAAACTTGGGATAGGCAAAAGTCGGATGTATGCACTAAGGTACAAAGAAGGCAAAATAACTACCAGTATTAGTTACCCTGGCACCTCTGAGCCGCTCAGCTGGCCCAGGTGGAAGTTACAGAGGCCATCACACCTAAGCACAGAAGTTATTGAGTGAATCATCCACTAACATGTCACCCCTTGCCAAGTTCACAAAGAGGTGACATGGCGCAAATTCAAAGTTGAAACGTGACTCGCTTATGTGCTTGTCGGGACGGCAGCTGTGGCGTACATTTTCCCCCTGAATGCTTGCACGCCCGCTGGTGGCAGCGCTAGTGTGCTTGAAAAAGGTCTATTGGCTGCCATGCTCGAGTCATTTACGTGGGGCATATTATTATTAGGCATGAATTACTGTGCATATAAATGGCAGACCACGTACAGCAATCCGAATGGCTCATTTGCGCAGTATGAGGGCCTGTCTAGCAGGCTGCACAACAAACCAGTTTTTTGCGAAATCCTATTGAAATGGCAAAAAGTATGCTCAATTCCACCACTATGTATTTACCTTACATTTCCACTAGGATATGGACAGTATATTCTAGGCAGTTGTCTAACTTGAAATTAATTTTGAGACGTTTCATTAATGCAGCAATATGAACACAACTTTTTATGGAAAGCTTAGGAGACATATTGAGAATATTCATTAGCTTTCTATTGATGAATAAAAAACTTTTGCAGAGCTCCAAGATTGCAAAACCACCCAACAAACCATGTGACTATTCATTTTCAATCCTTAACTTGAGGCAAGGTGTGAGATTGGTCTCGCCGCTCTTAATGCATCTTCAAAAAACAGCACACAAGCAAACAATGGTCAAAGATGAGAACAAAGACATGTGTTTTTTTCTCTTTGTCTACTTGTACTGTTTGACGAACTTCGTTTTGTGTTTCTAGTCTCACTGATATCAGCTGTATTGGAGTGCATGCACTGCAATACGCCTAATAACCCTGATTGCTCCAAAAATTTTTTAACATGTATGAGCTTCAATTTTAACTGGTTGGCTAGCATGGGGCAATTCTCAATTAGTTAAAAAATCTTGTAAATGACTCGCTCATTTCCTGTACTATGGGACGCTCACATGCTTTCGCTATTCCGGTGTGTCCTCCCAAAGAATCAAAGCGCTCGTTAAATAGTTACTAGAAGGCTACCTGCAAAAATTCATGCATCAACTTATACATCCTGTAGCAGACGGAACAAAAAGCTCAAATGCGAAACCAAACAATGTAAATAGTGCATGCTCAAGCACTTGGTAGTGTCCCAATCTTCAAGACTCCCACCACAACCTTTGTGGTACATGTGGTGATACACCAGCACCCACTGGCACCTACGCCATAAATAATTGCCCTCTTCATATCCTTCATTGTGATGAACACAGGACCTATAGTGATCCTGAAACGTTATCGCTGCCTTTCCAACAGGTACGTTATGTACAGTGCTCAACTCGGCTGTCTATAATCACTGAACGTCGCGCGCGGAACAGCACGAGGGACATTTGGAGTCGCAAATACGCCACTTCTGAGCATGCGCGGCGCCAATGATGTGCCTGCCCTGCAGTTTCCCCCTTCTTTATCTCCGCGACCGTGATGGCTGCTTTGGCCGTCGAAGAGCTGTCAACATTACAAAATGGAAATAAAACAACCAAAAAGAACTATTCTCGCTTCGTGATATCGTATCACAGAGACAACGACTCTACTTTGTCTTTCTTTCTTGTTTTTTTCTTTCGTTAAATCGCTCAGCGCCTTTGACGGCCAAAGCGGTTGTTGCATTCGCGGCGATAAACAGGGATCAGTATTGCGAGGCAGGCACATCACTGGCGCCGCGCATGCTAAGATGTGGCGTATTTGCGACTCCAGATGTTGCCCGTGCTGTTCGCGCACGACGCTCCGTCGTTATAGGCAGCCGAGTTGAGCACTGTACTATCGGCATCAAATGAAACGCGAACAGCGGAGCGCGTGGCACAAGCCTTATCAATGGCTTAGCGCGCGCCGTCCATTAGTCATTGACACAGACAGGCCGGACATCCGTGTGGCATATCATTGCGCGATCCCCCCTAAATGTCTATAGTGCAATATTTCTGCTTGTGTTCTAGGTATGGTAATGCTATTTGAAAGGAACAAAATAAAAAAAAAATACAGAGTGACTACTGCAGCCGAAGGCGAGTATTGCAGCACGGTTTGTCATCACGGAAGGTCTGGCAAATTCTATTTGTAGTAGACAAAACTCGGTTCACAATGCTGGCAATTTCACGCTGTTTCACTTCGTGCCGGTTAAAGCGAAACAATTTCCGCTTTTCTTCCGAAGAAACGCTCGGCATTCCCAGATTCGCTCGCAGTATTTCAAGCTGGACGGTTGTGCCCTCGCGATCTCCGGCATTAGCGTAGCTCCCGCCGACTGGTTCGCCCTCCGCGGTCTCTGACGCCGTGCAGCTCTCGCTGTGGCGCCCCGCCCTTGGACTGCTTCGACCGGATCCCACTTCCCTATCTCCTTCTTTTTTCCGCTGCTTGCCTGTCTATTTCTTCATCTATTTTCCTTCTATTTTTATCCCTCCTTCCCCCCCACCCCTATAAGGCACTGCGCCGTGTCGCCTGAAGGCAGACAGAAATTAGGTGCCTTTTTCCTCTTCCTTTAACCACTACCACCACCATTCCCAGTTAAAGTGAAGCCCTTCCGGTCGGTCTCTGGAGGAAGGGTGCAAGTGAAGCAGCGCTGGCGAAAGAGATACGACAGTCATTTGGAAACCGCAAACCGATTACATTTCTCTTTTTGTTTTACCTTACCAACACACTGATTGCACTGCGACGCTGAAGTAAAAGCAAGAAATTGCGAGTGATACGATCAAAAGCGGTTGGCACGCCTACGATGGTCCCCCATTATCACCACACGAAAACTAGGGCAGAAACGGAGATAATAATGCACTCTATGGGGATCGCGCAGTGCTGCCAAACCAGATGTGCACGCCTGTCAATGGTGATGACTGGACGGCCAGCACAATTCTGTTCCTAATGCTTGAAACACGCGCTCCGCTGTTCGGGTTTCATTTGACGCCGATAGTACATACATTGCATTTCATCAGCAGGTTTTCACTCGTCCACTCAAGCAGATCGAAATGCAGCCAATGACTTGGCCTTCATTTTGCTACCTTCTCAACATCGCCTAACGTTCTTTCAATAAACACGGTTGGGTAATTCAGATTAATGCATAGACACGAGAGAAATTTGGTTGCAGCTCCTGCCTCATCACCTAACCGCAAGCAATGAGCAACCAGTGCGACTAAAACGTTTTTACAAAGCTGCATGCTGACCTTAAACGTACGGTAAAGCACTTACCTCGGCGTTCAAAATGCGAACACATGGCAGGCGCTTCAGCGTAGCCGTCATCTTACGGTTAAGCAAGCGCGTTTTTCGTGCCTCGCGTTGCGCATCGGTGTCCTCATGGCTGTAACAACGCGGGAGCACCTTGAACACATACACCGCCGGGGCCACTTCGTGTAGGAGCTGTAAAACTTACGTCTAAAATGTAAAGGAAGAACAATCGTCAACGACTGGCACGAAGCATTCGAGAATTTCTTAATACTTACCCTGATATTGTCGCATACCTTCTGAGGCACCGCGTTAGCGTGGCTAAGGTCGTTGCCACCAACATAAACGACGGCAAAATCCACGTGCTGGAAGCCCATTGTAGAGACTGCCTGAGTTAGGCGCACTGCGTCGAATCCCCTGAAACTGAACATGCTGATATCCACGGACGTCTTCAAAGGAGGGCGACTCCATTTCAGTTGGCTATCGCCAATCACCACACCACTCTAGCCACCATAACAACACGCAATAAAGGCATATAAAGGCATAGCAAAGTCCAACAAAAGGCCGGCGACGGTAGCGAGTTGGCTGGCTGTAAACCGACGATTCCTCGGCCTTGTCCCCAGGGACAAGACCGAGAAATCGTTCCCTAGTTGGTGTAGTACCTATCTAGGGGCAGGGAGTACGTTCCCAAGAATCGTCACATACGTCACCCATTGTTCGCAGAGGGTGCCAAACTACGGGGATACGCTTCTATGGCGGTTCCACTTGTTTGTTGAGAAATCACCTCCGACAGAAAAAAATATGTCGCGTTGAGGCAGAATTCCTTCAAACGGCACAGTTCGTCCGTGCTGAGGTTTTAATCTCTCTCCATGGCGGTCCGGGCAACTGAGACCGCGAGGGGTACGGGCACACTCGTGAACAGAGACACGCACGAGGCTCTCGACACTGCTGATTGTCACCTCCGACATAAGTTGAACGAATTGGGTGGTGTCACATGTCGACGCGGCGATGGCGTAGTGGAAAGAGCATCCGCCTCGCATGCAAAAGGTCCGTGGTTCAAATCCCGGTGCCGCGCAGTTCCCAACCAGATTAAAAAAATTGCCCGCAGCTTCCCTCGGGGGAACACTGAGGAGGATGCGGAGCATATAATTGGTTAACGGGGTGTTAAAGTGCGACTTACTTGGGTCGATGGCTAAATTGGTTAACGTGGTTGTGAAATGGGGTGTTAAATTGCGACTTACTTGGGTCGATGGCTAAATTGGTTAACGTGGTTGTGAAATGGGGTGTTAAATTGCGACTTACTTGGGTCGATGGCTAAATTGGTTAACGTGGGTAGGAGGGGGTGTTAAATGAGTGAACACGTACACACGTATGCGAAAGGGCGGCGCTGGTCGAAGGGACGTCGATCATTGTGTTTGTGGATTCGTTGGAATTCATTTCACCGCGACCTTGGACGTCGACGCGCCGTACAAACCAACCGACGAGCGACAACTGAGCGAGCGAGCGCCGACCTTGAGTATATATACAGCGCGACGGCGCATGCACTGTCAGCTGTCGAATGTTCGAGAAGGGGGAGAAGCGCAACGGCGCATGCGCGCGCGTCAGCTGCCGATGTTCTGAAGCGTGACGACGCATGCGCGCTACATTATACAGCTAGCGAATGTTCGTGTGAAGAGAAGCGCACGCGGTGTGTAGAGGAGGAAGGATGCACAGATGGTGGAAGAAGGAGGAGGAAGCTTGCGGACGGCGCCGCACTACAAGCCTCGAGTTAGATGCTCCGCATCAAAAAATCCGCGTGGACTGTATTAACAGGCCAGGGGTGTGGCTCACCGGCAAACACCACCGGGAACGCACTCCCCTCACCAGAGAAGGATTGGCCACCCTAGTGCAGTATCTGGCCCATACCTCCCACATGCATACGTCAAATAACTCACGGCCCTCAGTCCCCAGCAGCTGCGAAGCAACTGACCAAGGCGGCGGTCAGTTGCTTCGCAGCTGACCGCCCGCCTTGCAACCGCGCCATCTGCAACGCAGCAGAGGGTGCTAAGAATCTCTGGATCTGGACCCGGCCGCCATTGGAACCTGAACTTGGAACGTTTTAATGGTAGACCCTTATCTAGTGAGGCAAGTCTAGCTGTACTTATTGAGGAGCTAGAGGGTGTTCAATGGGATATAATAGAGCTCATCTGAAGCTAGGACAGATGAGGCCTTTATGGTGCTACAGAATGAGCACCTCTTTGCTATCGGGGCTTGGCAGAGAGCGGAGACTGGTAGTGTGGCTCCTAATTCACAGAAACATAGCTGGCAGCTTAGAGGCAATACTATAGCACTAATGAAAGGGTGGTAGTTATCATAATTAAACGAATAAAAGATACCCAAAATGAGGTAGTACAGGCTTACGCGCTTACATCCAGCCATGATGAGTATCAGTTGAAAGCTTCTATGAAGATGTGGAATCGGCACTGAGTAAGGTAAAAACACAAGTACACTGTAGGTGATGGGAGACTTTAATGCAAACGAAGGGAATAAGCAGGCTGGAGACCAGGCAGTATAAAAGATTATGGCATCAGTACTAGAAACGCCAGAGGGAGCTGCTAGTAGAATTCGCCAGAACGCAATAATTTCGGATTTCGAACACCTTCTACCGAAAACGAGGAAAACCGCAAGTGGACATGGAGGAGCCCTAATGGCGAAATGTGAACGATATGACTTTATAATGAGTGCACACCTAGGAATCGTGCAGGATGTGGAAGTGGTTGGCAAGGTACGATGCAGTGACCATAGAGTGGTACGGTCTCGAATTCGCCTAGACTTGAAGAAGGAACGAGAGAAACTGATACGCAAGAAGCCAATCAATGAGCTAACACTGAGAGGAAAAGTACAAGAATTCAGAGTGTCGCTTCAGAACAGGTACTCGGCTTTTAGTGAAAAAAACCAACCTTAGCGCAGATACAATGAATGATAATCTGACGAGTATCATTACGGAGTGTGCAGTGGAAGTTGGAGGGAGGGTAGTTAGACAGGAGACTGGCAAGCTTTCCCAGCAAACGAAGAATCTAATTAAGAAGCGTCAAATCATGAAAGTCTCAAGTACAACAGACAAAATAGAACTGGCAGAGCTTTCGAAGTTGATTAATAGGCGTAAGGTAAGCGATGTAAGAAGGTATAATATAGAGAGAATTGAACACGCTCTGAAAAACGGAGGAAGCGTCAAAGCAGTGAAGAGGAAACTTGGGATAGGCAAAAATCGCATGTATGTACTAAGGGACAAAGAAGGCTAAATAGCTATCAATATGGGTGGATAGTTAAAATAGCCGAGGAGTTTTACAGAGATCTGTACAGTATCCAGGACAACTACAACCTTAATACTATAAGAACTAGCACTAACCCAGATGACAACCCACCAGTAACGATATAAGAAGTCAGAAAAGATTTGGAGAGCATGCAAAGAGGCAAAGCTGCTGGTGAGGATCAGGTAACATCAGATCTGCTGAAAGATGGAGGACAGATTGTGTTAGAAAAACTAGCCACCCTGTTTACGAGGTGTCTCCTGACGGGAAGGGTACCAGAGTCTTGGATGAACGCTAACATCATCTTAATACATAAGAAAGGAGATGACAAGGACTTGGAGAACTACAGGCCGATCAGCTTGCTCTCTGTAGTATACAAGCTATTTACAAAGGTAATTGCTAACAGAGTAAAGAAAACATTAGAATTCAATCAACCAAAGGAACAAGCAGAATTTCGAACAGGCCACTCAACAATTGACCACATTCATACTATCAATCAGGTAATAGAGAATTGCTCAGAGTATAACCAACCACTATACATAGCCTTCATAGATTACGAGAAGGCGTTTGATTCAGTAGAAATATCAGTCATGCAGGCACTGCGGAATCAGGGCGTCGATGAAGTATATATAAACATTCTGGAAGAAATCTACAGGGGATCAACTGCTACCATAGTGCTTCATAAAGAAAGCAACAGAATACCAATCAAGAAAGGTGTAAAACAGGGGGACACAATCTCCCCAATGCTATTTACCACAAGCTTACAGGAGGTTTTCAGAAGCCTAGAATGGGAACAGTTAGGGATAAGAGTTAATGGAGAGTACCTTAGTAACCTGCGCTTCGCCGATGACATTGCATTGCTGAGTAACTCAGGGGACGAATTGCAACTCATGATTACGGAGTTAGGCAAGGAGAGCAGAAAGGTGGGTCTTAAAATGAATCTGCAGAAAACGAAAGTAATGTACAATAACCTCAGAAAAGAGCAGCGCTTCTAGATAGGTAATAGTGCACTTCAAGTTGTAAAAGACTATGTCTACTTAGGGCAGGTAATAACCGCAGAGCCGAACCATGAGATCGAAGTAACCAGAAGAATAAGAATAGGGTGGAGCACATTTGGCAAGCACTCTCAAATTATGACAGATAGATTGCCACTATCTCTCAAGAAGAAAGTATATAACAGTTGTATCTTGCCGGTACTTAGCTACGGAGCAGAAACCTGCAGACTTACAAAGAAGGTTCAGCTTAAATTGAGGACGACGCAGCGAGCAATGGAAAGAAAAATGGTAGGTTTAACCTTAAGAGACAAGAGAGCAGAGTGGATTAGGGAACAGACGGGGGTTAAGGATATCATAGTTGAAATCAAGAAGAGGAAATGGACATGGGCCGGGCATGTAGCGCATAGACAGGATAACCGCTGGTCATTAAGGGTAACTAACTGGATTCCCAGAGAAGGCAAGCGGATTAGGGGGAGACAGAAGGTTAGGTGGGCAGATGAGATTAAGAAGTTAGCGGGTATAAATTGGCAGCAGCAAGCACAGGACCGGGTTAACTGGCGGAACATGGGAGAGGCCTTTGTCCTGCAGTGGACGTAGTCAGGCTGATGATGATGACATGTCTGTCTTCCCCACTAGTGGTGATAGGGTCCTGTGTAGATGTTCAGATAGCATGCGAAGTTCGGTAGTCAACTATCGGGCGTAGCGGTATTCCCGGTTTGTAGATCTTAGGAAGGACGTAGAATCTCGGCGTTGAACCGTTTCTGCCTATGTGGCGCAAGTAAAGCGTTCTTGATTCCGAGTGGTTTTTAAAATTTCGGCCAATAGCTTGTTTAGCTCCCATTGAATTCTGGGCGTGGAGTCTTTAGCAAGTTTGACGTATTCAGGGTTCTTCAGAAGGTTTTTTTATCTTGTCTTCATAGGATATTTGCGGTCGAGTATAACGGTTGCATTGTCCTTGTCTGCTGGAAGAATGGTTATGGTTGAGTATTTTCGGAGATTTTGAAGTGCTGCTTTCTCAGGATTATTGAGATTCCTTCGAGGTCGTGCTGGTACTTTTGAGAGGATTCCAATGGCTTTGAGTCTTACGTGGTCCCTTGCCTCGCTGTCCACGTGTTGTATGCCATCTTCAACAGCTGCGACGATCTGCCGAAGAGGTGGCGGAGTTGTTGTATCCAAATTGTGCCCTTTAGAAAGCACGCTTGCCTCGTGCTCCGATAGTTGTCTTGTTGAGAGGTTGACGACGCTTTCGGTGGTTTTGCTGCATTTCTGGGGTTCTGTGTTTGTTCTTCAGTGCCATGAGTTTACTCCTTAAATCTTTCT